CTGTAGAGGAGAGTCTACTGAACAAGCCAGTACCTGCTGCATACCAGTACTGCCATCTGTTGAGTTACGAAGATGGAGGCATTACTTTTCATTCAACCCTCGTATGTTGGCATTGAATTTTTGCCATTAGTATGTTGCAAACCACCCTGAGTCCACCCCCCCGCCCCCCGGGGGTGAGAAAGTCGGTGTATAAATATAGTAAGTAAATAAATACGTGATATATCATTCCTTGCTTCTGTGTTTTAACCAATCTTCTTTCCTTTCCCGAAAGGCATGAAAGACGGCCAGAAGTTAGTGTTCCACGGAGAAGGGGACCAGGAGCCCGACTTGGAGCCCGGGGACGTCATCATTGTGCTGGATCAGAAGGACCACCCGGTCTTTCAGAGGAGAGGCCAGGACTTGATCATGAAAATGAAAATCCAGCTGACGGAGGCGTTGTGTGGCTTCAAGAAGACCATCGAGACCTTGGATGATAGAGTCTTAGTCATACAATCTAGGGCTGGTAAGGCTGGGGTCTGCCTTGCTTGTATTTTAATATAATTGCTAATATAATAAGAATTTTTCGGGTTGTAAAGAGTTTAAGAAGTCTGGCCCTAGCACGGCACCCATTGCCGTCTTCAGAGGGTCTTTCTTTTTTTTTAGAAAGGCAATAACTTAAAATGTTTCCAAACAGGCGAGGTGATAAAACACGGAGACATCAAGTGCATCTTAAACGAAGGCATGCCCACTTACAAATCCCCCTTGGAGAAAGGCTCCCTCATCATACAATTCTTGGTAAGTCTTGTTATTAAGTATATTGGGGACTCCTCCCGGCTGTTAGGAATTGCAGGAGTTGGAAGTCCAAAACACCAGGAGTGTCAGAAATATTAAAATTAACTAGGTATTTTTAATTACAAAAATGTAAGTCAAGGTGCACTTCAATATAAGCAGGTGTGCCTGTAGCTTAGTAGCCTTCAGTCTGGGAGAGGTCTCTGTGGGAGAAAGGCCTCAGTGTGTTTGTAGGCCTCAATATGAGATGGCCTCAGTGTTAGTTTGCCTCAGTGGGAGAAAGGCTTCAGTGTGAGAAAAGCCACAGTCTGAGTAGGCCTGGTGTGAGAAGCTTCGGTGAGAGAAGCCCCAGGTTGAAGGCCATCGTGTGTGAAACTCCAGTGTGAAGGCTGCTGCGTTAAATTGATGTGACTTGGGAAAACTTGCACTTGAATATAAGCAGGTGTGCCTGTAGTTTAGTAGCCTTCAGTCTGGGAGAGGTCTCTGTGGGAGAAAGGCCTCAGTGTGTTTGTAGGCCTCAATATGAGATGGCCTCAGTGTTAGTTTGCCTCAGTGGGAGAAAGGCTTCAGTGTGAGAAAAGCCACAGTCTGAGTAGGCCTGGTGTGAGAAGCTTCGGTGAGAGAAGCCCCAGGTTGAAGGCCATCGTGTGTGAAACTCCAGTGTGAAGGCTGCTGCGTTAAATTGATGTAGTGACTTGGGAAAACGTGCACTTCAGTATAAGCAGGTGTGCCTGTAGCTTGGTAGCCCTCAGTCTACTAACACTGAGGCCTTTCTCCCACAGAGACCTCTCCCAGACTGAGGGCTACTAAACTACAGGCATACCTGATACTGTGTTAAATGGATGCAATGACTCGGCAAAAGTTGCACTTCAATATAAGCAGGTGTGCCTGTAGCTTAGTGGCCCTCAGTCTGGGAGAGGTCTCTGTGGGAGAAAGGCCTCAGTGTGTTTGTAGGCCTCAATATGACAAGGCCTCAGTGTTAGATCACCTCAGTGTGAGAGAAGCCTCAGTGGGAGAAATGCGTCAGTATTCGAAGACCCGGTATTGAAAAGCTTCAGTGGGAGAAGCCCCAGGTTGAAGGCCACCATGTGTGAAGCTTCAGTGTGAAGGCTGCTGCATTAAATTGATGTAAAGACTTGGCAAAACGTGCACTTCAATATAAGCAGGTATGCCTGTAGTTTAGTAGCCCTCAGTCTGGGAGAGGTCTCTGTGGGAGAAAGGCCTCAGTGTGTTTGTAGGCCTCAATATGAGATGGCTTCAGTGTTAGTTCACCTCAGTGGGAGAAAGGCCTGAGTCTGAGTAGGCCTGGTGTTAGAAGCTTTGGTGAGAGAAACCCCAGGTTGAAGGCCATCATGTGTGAAGCTCCAGTGTGAAGTCTACTGTGTTAAATGGATGCAATGACTCGGCAAAAGTTGCACTTCAATATAAGCAGGTGTGCCTGTAGTTTAGTAGCCTTCAGTCTGGGAGAGGTCTCTGTGGGAGAAAGGCCTCAGTGTGTTTGTAGGCCTCAATATGAGATGGCCTCAGTGTTAGTTTGCCTCAGTGGGAGAAAGGCTTCAGTGTGAGAAAAGCCACAGTCTGAGTAGGCCTGGTGTGAGAAGCTTCGGTGAGAGAAGCCCCAGGTTGAAGGCCATCGTGTGTGAAACTCCAGTGTGAAGGCTGCTGCGTTAAATTGATGTAGTGACTTGGGAAAACGTGCACTTCAGTATAAGCAGGTGTGCCTGTAGCTTGGTAGCCCTCAGTCTACTAACACTGAGGCCTTTCTCCCACAGAGACCTCTCCCAGACTGAGGGCTACTAAACTACAGGCATACCTGCTTATACTGTGTTAAATTGATGCAATGACTCAGCAAAAGGTGCACTTCAATATAAGCAGGTATGCCTGTAGTTTAATAGCCCTCAGTCTGTGAGAGATCTCTGTGGGAGAAAGGCCTCAGTGTGTTTGTAGTCCTTAATATAAGAAGGCCTCAGTGTTAGTTTGCCTCAGTGGGAGAAAGGCCTCAGTGTGAGAAAAGCCTTGGTCTGAGTAGGCCCGGTGAGAGAAGCCCCAGGTTGAAGGCCATCATATGTGGAGCTCCAGTGTGAAGGCTGCTGTGTTAAATGGATGCAATGAATGGGCAAAAGCTGCACTTCAGTATAACCAGGTGTGCCTGTAGCTTAGTGGCGCTCAATGTGTGAGAGGTCTCTGAGGGAAAATGGCCTCAGTGTGTTAGTAGGCCTCTGTGTTAGTTCATCTCAATGGGAGAGAAGTCTCAGTGGGAGAAAGGCTTCAGTGTTAGTAGGCCTGGTATTGAGGAGCTTCAGTGAGAGAAAGCCCTGTTTGAAGGCCATCATGTGTGAAGCTCCAGTGTGAAGGCTGCTGTGCTAAATGGATGCAATGACTTGGCAAAAGCGGCACTTCAATATAAGCAGGTGTACCTGTAGCTTAGTAGCCCTTAGTCTAGAGCGGTCTCTGTGGGAGAAGGGCCTCAGTGTGTTAGTAAGCCTCAGTATGAGAAGCTTCAGTGAGAGACGCCCTCAGTCTGTGAGAGGTATCTGTGGGAGAAGGGCCTCAGTGTGTTAGTAGGCCTCCGTATGAGAAGGCCTCTATGTTAGTTCGCTTCAGTGTGTGAGAACCCTCAGTGGGACACTAGGCCTGGTATTGAGGAGCTTCAGTGAGAGATGCCCTCAGTCTGTGAGAGGTATCTGTGGGAGAAGAGCCTCAGTGTGTTAGTAGGCCTCTGTATGAGAAGGCCTCTGTGTTAATTCGCCTCAGTGTGTGAGAAGCCTCAGTGGGAGAAAGGCCTCAGTGTTAATAGCCCTGGTATTGAGGAGCTTCAGTGAGACGCCCTCAGTCTGTGAGAGGTATCTGTGGGAGAAGGGCCTCAGTGTGTTAGTAGGCCTCCGTATGAGAAGGCCTCTATGTTAGTTCGCTTCAGTGTGTGAGAACCCTCAGTGGGAGAAAGGCCTCAGTGTTAGTAGCCCTGGTATTGAGGAGCTTCAGTGAGAGACGCCCTCAGTCTGTGAGAGGTATCTCTGGGAGAAGGGCCTCAGTGTGTTAGTAGGTCTCCATATGAGAAGGCCTCTGTGTTAGTTCGCCTCAGTGTGTGAGAAGCCTCAGTGGGAGAAAGGCCTCAGTGTGTTTGTAGGCATCCGTATGAGAAGGCCTCTGTGTTAGTTCGCCTCAGTGTGAGAGAAGCCTCAGTGGGAGAAAGGCTACAGTGTTAGTAGGCCTGGTATTGAGGAGCTTCAGTGGGAGAAACCCTGTTTGAAGGCCATCATGTGTGAAGCTCCTGTGTAAGTTCGATATGAGAATGAAGCTATTTATCTGCATGAGAAAGAAGTCCTTCATGGAAGCAAAGAAGGAAGTAGAAAGGACTTCATTTGTGTTATGGAAACCTTGTTCTCGTAAATATTATTTGACTACAAAGAAAAGCCTCCTATGGAAGACATAACATTGGTCTGTGTGTTTGTTTGTTTTTTATCACATTGGGCTTCTGGTGCTGGGTCACGCTGCTACTAATACTTTATGAGGAGGATCTTTTGCTCATAAGCCCACTTGTTCCAGGTGGACTTCCCCGAACACCACTGGCTCTCCCTGGACCGGCTGCCCCTCTTGGAGGCGCTCCTTCCTCCCCGGGAAGAGGTCACGGTCACCGAGGACATGGACCAGGCGGAGCTGGTGGAGTTCGACCCCCGGGAGCGGCCTCACCGCCACCGTCACGGAGGAGAGGCCTACGAGGAGGACGACGACAACGGCCCCCGGACGGGCGTCCAGTGCCAGACCTCTTGAACCCAAAGCGGGAAGCACGACGTACATTGGGACTTTCTAGGGCCCGTTTTTTGAAGGCCCGTTCTCATGTTCTGCACTGTGTGTTAACTCTATATATTTTCTAAGGAGTTCCATATTGAAGTGTTTTCTGTAAACTATTAAGCATGTGTAACCGAAGACTTGAACATCCTAGAACTTGATAGAGCGAGCAATTCCCGGGACTCTTAAAAGGAATAAGGGAGGGAGGGAAGAGTTCGTCATGCACTGTATGCTTTTGAAGTATTTCTTCAAATAAAACTTGAAAGGACCATTCTCATATTTTGGTTTATATTTTCAACATGTCCCTCCTTATGTTTGTATACTTTTCATTCACTTCTGAATTCCCCTCTAAAATAACTTACTATTATTTATTGGATTTACCATATATACTCATGTATAAGCCAAGTTTTTCTGCCCTTTTTTAAGGCTGAAAAAGCCCCCTCTGCTTATTCTCGAATCAAAGTTATTTATCATTTCACTCTGTTATTATTACTATTTTTATTAGTTTTATTTTACTCTATTATTATTATTACATTTATTATTTTACTTTATTAGTATTATTACATTTATTATTTTACTCTATTAGTATTGTTATTACATTGATTATTTTACTCTATCATTATTATTAAATGTATTATTTTACTCTATTAGTATCGTTATTACGTTTATTATTTTACTCTATTAGTATTGTTATATTTATTTTACTCTATCATTATTACATTTATTATTTTACAATTGGAGCCTCCGGTAGTGCAGCGGGTGAAACTGCTGAGCTTGCAGACCAAAAGGTTGGCAGTTCAAATCCAGGGAGCAGGGTGAGCTCTCGCTGTTAGCCCTAGCTTTTGCCAACCTAGCATTTTGAAAACTTGCAAATGTGAGAAGATCAATAGGTACCGTTTGGCAGGAAGATAATGACACTCCATGCAGTCATGCCGGCCACATGACTTTGGAAGTGTCTATGGACAACGCCGGCTCTTCGGCTTACAAATGGAGATGAGCACCAACCCCCAGAGTCGGACTTAATGTCAGGGGAATTATTTTACTATTATTATTATTGCATTTATTATTTTACTCTGTTTTTATTATTATATTTATTATTTTACTCTATTATTTTTATTACATTTATTATTTTACTTTATTAGTATTGTTATTACATTTATTATTTTACTATTATAATTAATACATTTATCATTTTACTATTGGAGCCTCCGGTAGTGCAGAGGGTTAAACTGCTGAGCTGCTGAACAAAAGGTTGGTGGTTCAAATCCAGGGAACAGGGTGAGCTCTCGCTGTTAGCCCTAGCTTTTGCCAACCTAGCATTTTGAAAACTTGCAAATGTGAGAAGATCAATAGGTACAGTTTGGCAGGAAGATAATGACACTCCATGCAGTCATGCCGGCCACATGACTTTGGAGGTGTCTACGGACAAAGTCGGCTCTTCGGCTTAGAAATGGAGATGAGCACCAACCCCAAGTCGGACTTAATGTCAGGGGAATTATTTTACTGTTATTATTATTGCATTTATTTTATTTTACTCTGTTTTTATTATTATATTTATTATTTTACTCTATTTTTTTACATTTGTTATTTTACTATTATAATTAATACATTTATTATTTTACTATTGGAGCCTCTGGTAGTGCAGCGGGTTAAACTGCTGAGCTGCTGAACTTGCAGACCAAAAGTTTGGCGGTTCAAATCCAGGGAGCAGGGTGAGCTCTCGCTGTTAGCCCTAACTTCTGCCAACCTCGCATTTTGAAAACATGGAAATGTGAGTAGATCAATAGGTACCGTTTGGCAGGAAGATAACAACGCTCCATGCAGTCATGCCAGCCACATGACTTTGGAGGTGTCTATGGACAATGCCGGCTCTTGGGCTTAAAAATGGAGATGAGCACCAACCCCCAGAGTCGGACAGGACTGGACTTAATGTCAGGGGAATTTTTTTACTAGGTTTTTTCAGGCTATATGGCCATGTTCTAGAGGCATTTTCTCCTGATGTTTCGCCTGCATCTATGGCAAGCATCCTCAGAAGTAGAAATTTTTTTACTATTATTATTGCATTTATTATTTTACTCTGTTTTTATTATTATATTTATTATTTTACTCTATTATTTTTATTACATTTATTATTTTACTCTATTAGTATTGTTATTACATTTATTATTTTACTATTATAATTAATACATTTATCATTTTACTATTGGAGCCTCCGGTAGTGCAGCGGGTTAAACTACTGAGCTGCTGAACTTGCAGACCAAAATGTTGGCGGTTCGAATCCAGGGAGCAGGGTGAGGTCTCGCTGTTAGCCCTAGCTTCTGCCAACCTCATGTAAATGTGAGTCGATCAATAGGTACCGTTTTGGCGGGAAAGAAATGGCGCTCCATGCAGTCATGCCGGCCACATGTCTACAGACAACGCCGGCTCTTCAGGTTAGAAATGGAGATGAGCACCAACCTCCAGAGTCGGACTTAATGTCAGGGGAATTATTATTATTATTATTATTATTATTATTATTATTATTATTATTATATTTATTATTTTACTCTGTTTTTATTATTATATTTATTACTTTACTCTATTATTTTTATTATATTTATTATTTTACTCTGTTATTATTACATTTATTACATTTACTCTATTACTGTTATTACATTTCCATTAATTTACTCTATTATTATTTTACTACTTTTGTTATTTTATTCTCTTTATTATTATTGGAAGGATACGTAAACCCATTTACATTGAAGGAGGTTAGAATAATGGTTAGACCAGAGTTGAATAGTTTTGTCTTAAATTACAGTTTTTTGAAAATATTCAAAAACACTTAACCTAATGATGCCTCAATTAATGTAATTTTATTGGTATATTTTTATTATGAAATTGACCAGCAGCTGATGCATTTTCCACCCTCGGCTTAGACTCGAGTCAATATGTTTTCAGAGTTTTGTGGTAAAATTAGGTGCTTTGGCTTATATTCGGGTCGGCTTATACTTGAGTATATACGGTATATCCTATATAATTTTTATTTACTACTCACAATTCCTCTAAAATAAATTACCAGTCTTTATTGGGTTTATATCTTATCCCCCCCCCTTTTAAAAGTCTTAGATTCTCCCACACACACTTTTAAAAGTATTTTGATTTACTCAGATCTCCTCTAAAACAATGAACATTATTTTTGAAACATTATTTCATTTTTAATTGGGGTGAAAAATCAACTGCATCTTAATACGATAAGCATTTGGTTTTAAAAATGAGACTGCAAAATTCCCAATTACAATTTGACTTCTTAAAATCTAAAATAAAGTTGCATTATGAAAATAGACACTTATGAACTACATACACAGCCTTCAAACCACAACGACGGAGGGGACGATTAAACGGGACAGTCGTAAATATGGATTTCTTGGTCGTCGCCCACCGAGACGATTTTGGAGCCGTTCCCATTGTATTGCACTCCCCAGACCTGTGAATGGAAAAGAAACAAATCCCACTTTAGGTTCAATGGGTTCTAATGTTGGAAGGGAGATTATGTTTAAATACCAAGACTCTCTTCCGATATGTACCTGGTCTTGATGATCAAAGAAGGTATGGACACAGGTTCTTGAAGGCACGTCCCACACTTTGACGGTTTTGTCTGAGGAACTGGAAAACACAATTAGATTCATCCTCTATTAGGCTCTGGCAGTGTTGGGTTACTATAACAATTCCTCATTTAGTTTCAGCAGTGCAGAGCATCAGGTTTACTTACCTTTGCCTCATGTAAACTTATGTCGCATGGCTTTGGTTTCCTTTCGGAGACCAGTTGCTCATTTAATTGCTTATTTTCAGATAGTCTTCGGCACTTAAAGGCAGGAAAAGGTGCTCTGCCTTTCAATCAAGGGATAAAACCAGGATATCTATCTTCTATTTATATTTTTAAAAAGTGAAAATATTTTGTATGTGTATATATACATATTTTATTTCCAAGATTGCTCCCACTTCCAGAGATGACTATATAATATATTGTATACTAACTGTACCCGCCACACGTTGCTGTGGCCAACCTTCCCTCCCTCTTTCTTTCTCTCCTTCCCTTTTTTTCTTTCCCTCCTTCTTCTTTCTTCCTTCTCTACCTGTTTCTTTTCTCGCTTCCTTTGCTCTTTGGTTCCATCCTTCCCTCTCTCTTTCTCTCTTTCCTTCCTTCTCTCCTTCCTTCCCTTTTTCACTTTTTATTTCATTCTCTCCCTCCTTCTGTCCACCCTTCCTTCTCTACCCTTTTCTTTCTTTCTTTCTCTCCTTCCCTTCTTTCCTTCCTTCCCTACCCTTCTTTCTTTCCTTCTTTTTCTCCTTCCCTTCTTCTTCCCCTCCTTCTTTACCTTTCTTTCCTTCCCCCCTTCCTTCCTTCTCTACTTCTTTATCTCCTTCCCCCCTTCCTTCCTTCTCTACTTCTTTATCTCCTTCCCCCCTTCCTTCCTTCTCTACTCTCCCTCCTTCCTTCCTTCTTCTTTATTTCTTTCTTCTTTCTTTCCTTTCGTCTTTCTTTCTTTCCTTCCTCCTTTCCCTCTTTCTCCCCCTCTTTCCCTCCTTCTCTCGTTCCATTCTCCCAAATGAAGCAGAGAGTGTTTGAGAAGAGCGGAATATAAATACTGTAAATAAATAAATGCACAAAACTAGTAAATACAGTAACAGATTACTCCTTAAGTCTCACTAAAAAGAGATACCATGAGTATCAACCCTTCAATTCTTCACAATATAAGCATCAGTTACAAACAGAGAGAGAGAGAAATCACACTTTGATCAGAATCCTGTTAAATGCAATGCAGCATTGTTTACTCATCTTAAAAAAAAATGTTACGAAGAAGGAAAGTGGAACAGAAGGTATGTATAGAGTGAACAGAGGAAGGCTAGAATAGGGTCGTGAGAAATAAATAAAATATTAAATTTTGACCTACCTGGAAACGAAGTGGCTGTTGTCAGGACAAAATGCAACATTTAATACCCAGGATGCATGGCCGCTCAACGTACCTGCCAGGTTTGCGTGTTGCCTGCAAAAAAACCACAATTTTTTTATTTTAGAGAAAACGAAATACCTGACAGCAGCGATGAGTGTATATATATATATTACTAGCCGTCCCCTGCCACGCATTGCTGTGGCCCAGTCTGTGTATATGTGTTTTGCACATGTGTGTTTGTGGTTTTGCGCATGTGTTGTAATGTATTTTTTGCTTTTTTGGCTTTCTAAGTCCCTTCTGCTGTGTTTTTCAGTGTTTTTATGAGCGATGGTCACTCGTTGGCCTGTTAGGTGTCTTGTGTCCAAATTTGGTGTCAATTCCCCCAGTGGTTTTTGAGTTCTGTTAATCCCACAAACGAACATTACATTTTTATTTATATAGACTAGCCGTCCCCTGCCACGCATTGCTGTGGTCCACTCTAGTGGTCATGGGGGTTCTGTGTGGGAGGTTTGGCCCAATTCTATCATTAGTGGGGGTTCAGAATGCTCTGTGATTGTAGGTGAACTATAAATCCCAGCAACTACAACTCCCAAATGTCAAGATTCTATTTTCCCCAAACTCCACCAGTGTTCACATTTGGGCATATTGAGTATTCGTGTAGAGTTTGGTCCAGATCAATCATTGTTTGAGTCCACAGTGATCTCTGGATGTAGGTGAACTACAACTCCAAAACCAAAGGACACTGCCCACCAAACCCTTCCAGTATTTTCTGTTGGTCATGGGAGAACTGTGTGCCAAGTTTGGTTCAATTCCATCGTTGGTGGGGTTCAGAATGCTCTTTGATTGTAGGTGAACTATAAATCCCAGCAACTACAACTCCCAAATGACAAAATCAATTTTTGAGTGAAGGACATACATTGAGTTGTTAGGTGTCTTGTGTCCAAATTTGGTGTCAATTCGTCCAGTGGTTTTTGAGTTCTGTTAATCCCACAAACGAACATTACATTTTTATTTATATAGATTTATATCCCACCCTTCTCAACTCTGAGCACAATTCAAAGTGTTGGTGTTAACCTATAAAGCCCTAAACGACTCCGGCCCTGTTTACCTCTCCGAACGTATTCTCCCTATGAACCATCAAGATTATTAAGATCGTCTGGAGAGGCCCTGCTCTCGGTCCCACCGGCCTCACAAGCGCGTCTGGTGGGGACGAGGGACAGGGCCTTCTCGGTGGTGGCCCCACGACTCTGGAACTCTCTCCCACCGGAGATCAGAACCGCCCCTTCTATCCTGACATTCAGGAAACAGGTGAAGACTTGGTTATGGAGACAGGCTTTTGATGAGTGTGCCAACATCCTGAGATATGGATGGAAGGTGATGTATAATCGATTTTAATATGACGACTGACCAGTGTAGTTTTGAATATACTTGTTGTTTTAATGTGTTATTGTAATATGAATTATGTTGTTTTACTGATTGTATGGATTTTATGGTTGGAAACCGGTCTGAGTCCCTCAAAGAGGTGAGAAGGTCGGTATATAAAACTTTTAAATAAATAAATAATAAATAAAACTACATACTTTCATAGTAAGGGCTGCACAATTAAACAGGAAACCACACTTTCAAACCAGGAACAAAGCATTGGTCAAATTTTGTTACATAGCGCGATATACAGTCCAAAACAAGTGGAATTTCTCACACTTTAGCTATTAAATTAGAATGGTTCAAGTTGCACACAAAACAAATACTTGCATGCAAAATGGTGTAGTTTTCTATTGCCAAATGCAGCAATGGCTGCCAACTGGTTCAGTTTCACGCTCCAATGTTATTGGCCCAAACTTTTCCTACTTACACATCATAAATCTTGATGTAGCCGTCGTCTGACGCCGTGACCAGCAACTGAGAGTCGGGGGAAAACGTTAAGGAGCGGATTGGCATAGCGTGGCCTGAAATGAGAAAAAAAAATTATGCCAATTTTATCTATTGTGTACCTTTGAATTGTTCCTGAATTATGCCAATGCTATGCTTCTGGAACATGGCCATTCAGCCCGGAAAACTCACAACAACCCCTCTTTATTTATTGTTTTCACAAATAAAGACTGACTAAAGCAGCGTTCTCAACCTGGGGGTCAGGACCCCTGGGGGGATCGTGTGGGGGTGTCAGAGGGGTCACCAAAGACCATCAGAAAACAATATTTTCTGTTGGTCATGGGGTTCTGTGTGGGACGTTTGGCCCAATTCTGTTGGTGGGGTTCAGAGTGCTCTTTGATTGTAGGTAAACTATAAATCCCAGCAACTACAACACCCAAATGTCAATGTCTATTTTTCCCAAACTCCACCAGTGTTCACATTTGGGGATATTGAGTTTTCATGCCACATTTAGTCCAGATCTATCATTGTTTGAGCCCGCTGTGATCTCTGGATGTAGGTGAACTACAACTCCCAAACTCAAGGTCAATCTGCATCAAACCCTTCCAGTAATTTTTGTTGGTCATGGGAGTTCTGTGTCCCAAGTCTGGTTCAATTCCATCGTTGGTGGAGTTCAGAATGCTCTTTGATTGTAGGTGAACTAGAAATCCCAGCAACTACAACTCCCAAATGTCAAGGTCTATTTTCTCCAAACTCCACCAGTGTTCACATTTGGGCATATTGAGCATTCATGCCAAGTTTGGTCCAGATCCATTGGTGTTTGGATTCACAGTGCTCGCTGGATGTAGGTGAACTACAACTCCAAAACTCAAGGTCAGTGCCCAACAAACCTTTCCAGTATTTTCTTTTGATCGTGGGAATTCTGTGTGCCAAGTCTGGATCAATTCCATCGCTGGTGGAGTTCAGAATGCTCTTTGATTGTAGGTGAACTAGAAATCCCAGCAGTTACAACTCCCAAATGACAAAATCAATTCCCCCCAACCCCAGCAGTATTCAAATTTGTATATGTGCCAAATTTGGTCCAGTGAATGAAAATAGACCTGCATATGAGATATTTGCATGACGATTCATAA